TTTTTAAATTAATAAGTAATAATTTATCCAAACGCTTGTTCTTATAGTTAAACAACAATTCTTAGAGAATGTGAATGGGTATTGTATTTAAAATAATTAATGTATTAATAATATTAAAAAATTATTAATTTTTATAATATTTTATATAAATTAATTACAAAAAATTATGTTTATTGCACTTTAAATAAACTCAATGTTTAAAGAAGATTATCAAATTTCGGTTTCAGGGGAATTCCATCCCATATGTTGGTCAGCACAGAAAGGCTGCGGTTGAGTATTGCCAATATAGATAACATAATTGATATTGAGTGGAGATTTTATACAATAATTTTTAGTAATACATATCTAATTAAATTGAACAAAAATCAGAATTGGATCAACATGACATCGATATTTTAAATACTGTAACTGATTGCTTATAGAAAACATAAATAAATAAATAACATTTTTGGGTGGCCCCAATAATTTGTTATGTGACCTTAACCACTTCTGGGCATGAGAGGGAACGAGAAATCTTGGAACCTTCATTATTTGACATCCAGATCTGATGCAGAACAATATTGATGATTCCCTGGCTCGGTTCCTTGTAGCGCACACACAACTTCTGAATGAAAAGCAAAGATAGATCGATATAATATTGATCAAAAGATTCTACTGAGCAAAGGATAGCAAGCAAAAAAGATTCATTGATACAATATTGATAAAAAAAGATAATACAGAGCAACGGATAGTATCTTTTCTAATCTAAAAAGTGCTAGAAAAATTACTTTTAGAAAACCTGCATGATGGTGAAAAACAAAACGATCGTGGCAAAAACTACAGAAACGATAGCCCATGGCTTAGTAAAATAGTTATGGATCAAAGAAGCTCGCCATCTCGGCCATCTCTTCTCGCAATATTCTTTGACATCTTTGCGAAGTCGTGCATGAAAGAGCTCGTGTGTAAAAGTGTTATCACGGACTCTGTTCAAGAAATTTGACGTTTCCCCAGGGTTTAACCTGTTATCAAGAATTCCTTCTCTGTTCATTAAATGCACATCATCTGAGCTGTCGACCAGGCAATCTAAGAGTATGGCGTAACTTGTCACCCTTGGCGCGCAAAGAAGGCTACATTGCTCAAAGATGATGAGGTTCCTGAAGATGGTTTCTGTCGATGGAGTAATCAGCGAAGGTGGGATTTTGAGGACACCCTTGTTAAATTTTACATTCAAGATGTTTCTTGACTCGGCTTTTTGAAATTTGACTCCCACCTCTTTAAGTCTGGTGACAGATGGAACAAGGGTCCCATAATCCAACAACTCAAAGTCTATTCCTCCCCTTTCTGATGAGACATCCCAGAAACGCCATAGAAAATCAACCAGGTGTATAATTCCTGAATTGTACCTTGATAGAAGCTTTTCCAATTCTTGAGGAGGTTCATAATAAGAAAAAACATGTCTAAAGAATTTTCTGGCCAGCTCAACCAAAGTCAAATTCATGCATGGAAGGTACTCATTGGTCTTGTCAAACAAGAGCTCAAACACAAACCAAGGTATTTGGTTATCTAACAATAATAAGAGTATGGCGTCACTTGTCACCCTTGGCGTGCAAAAAAAAGTCCGTTACATGATGGGGGGAAAACGCGTTCTTAATTTTTTGAAAAAAAAAAAAAGCGTCACATGATGGGGGGAAAACTTTTTTTTTTAGAATTTTCTAATTTGTGTTTGAGATTTTTTAATATGTGTCTTAAATCTTATTTATTGTAATATTTATAATTAATTTTATATAAACTTTTATATAAAATTTAAATATAATATAATATAAAA